CAGAGACTGTCATTAAAAGGTAAATTATTCCTTATTCGTTCGATTTTGTTGATGTTTTGGAACGAAATCGTTCGTCAGTCGCACACTGCTCTTTGCGTACCAGATACCACCATCGCACGGTGTTTTCCGATGACTTGCATTGCAAATTGAGTCCCATTTGGTAGACCGCAAATATTTAATCCTACAAATCTTAGTTCTTTTATGTGGCATTGAACAGACAAAATTCGGCATGAGCACCTTGAAGCGAATGAAGCAAATCGGGGCAGGCCCGATAACCCGCATGTATCATGTATCCCAGTCATGGGATTCTGGTTGTCGTAACTTTATCGGTCGCCAAATCCATCGCTTGAATTCGGTTTGTTGCCGGGCTCAGTCGACTGTGTGATTTCAAGGATGTTNAAGGATGTTTCGATCTGAACGCGTACCGGAATAGGGAGCCCTATAAATTTGTCAGGTGGTTTTTTCACGTGATTTGCTTTAATCAGCACATTAAATAACTGTAATCTGAAATTTAATATGCCGTCGGACATGCATTGGGTCGTTCAGATCAGATTCGGTTTCGTGGGCGAATACACAGGCGGAATTAAATGAGACATTGACCGGGGTCCTGTACATTTTTTGCTCATTGTAGATGGCCCAATTTACTTTTTTGAGGGTAACGCAACACGATGTAGCGACGAGAAAATGCGTGAATCCGCAACAACCTTGAGCACAAGGCAAACGCAAAACAGATCAGAATTTGAAAGGAATGTTAAGTTCATTTCAAGCCCAATGCATTTTTTGGTAAATAAAGCCACTACACAGTAGAGAGAAGAGATAAAATGACCAGGTGATGACAGGGGAACACCTGTAGTGTTGTGCTGCATTCTCAATTCAGTCATATGGAGAATTGTCCGCGGTGAAATTTCGGAACACTAAATGGCGCTCGCGAAACAGAGTGGTGATGCCGGGTTGTTCATCGGACCTACTGCACTTTAAAATCAACAATGCATTTCACCGTTTGAAGAATAATGCAAAGGTCAAGCGATTAGACATTCCAGTAAGAGAAAAAAGGATTCTGTTTTGCAACGGATTACCCAACTGCATGACCCACGATGAACTTACCAACTGCACTTCTAGATTGCCTGTGCCAATATATAATGTGGAGATAACGATTCGGCGTTTTGCTTCGTTGATGTGTTTCTGAGCAAGAGGATGGGTCGAGAAAGCGGACAATAAGTTAATGAAAAAAAACAGAACCTAATGACATGAAAGCAAATTAGATAAAGTTCGGTTGGGTTATAAACGTAAACTACTACTCCAGTAGAGTGATCTGTGGACTTCAATGCGATATGGACACGAAAACCTAACGCCCCACTTGCGAACTGACACGATGACTGATCAACGTCGCATTTAGCTTGTTGCTCACAATAACAACATTGTACCAGTTTAAACACTGACAGTGAGAGCAAGCAATTAGGTTCAGCAAACTCATATTGTGCAACACGAAAACAACTCAGGAGTTAACTTCGACTTAATTCGAACTTCGCATGAACCCAAAAATCTTAATTCTCTGGAAGAATTTTTCCTTCGGCTCGACTCTGGACGGTTAGCTAAAATCGTGAACAATGACCGGAAGCACGGAATACTACAAGTCATGACAGTTTTTATGTACTAGATCAGCGAAGAGCCAGAGTTGCTCTCACTCTATTTGTCTCGAGCTTATCATGCTGCAATTACAATCAAATAGTGCGCATGTGTTCGTCTCTCTGTGTTAACACTACACACGACTATTCGCCAAAGGATAAATCACCGAGTACATATGTGAGGCCGACAAAAATAGTTCAATAGGGATGAAAAACTGAATATAGCACACCTGTTCTTGAATGTTTTCTTTTCGCGGGGAAATGACTCGTCAGTGATTTGTCCAGATGAAAACTTTCACTCTTTGATGACCAGAACAGTCGATTAAGAGCAATTTAGGTGTTTGGATAGATAGAACTGATCGTATGAGGAGCTTAGTCGTCGAATTACGTGCACTTAGTCCATCGTGTTCAGTAACTGGTAAGGTACAGCTGGAGATTCACATACAGTTTTATGCTGAATTCGTGGGC